GTTGGGGTTCGTGTAATGAAAGAACATATCTGACTAGGCCACTTCTTCAAAATCATGCACTATCTATTGTCAGGCATTATTGCTCCCTTTTTCCTCTCCATCAGTTTGGCTAAATGGTAGTTCAGTTTCATAGGGATTAAGTATTTATTTGCTGATCTAGTGGTAGACTGAGTCTTAGAAATCAAGCCCTCTGTTGCCAGGGGTAGGGGTATAACTATCCTGGGGCACCAAAGATGGTGGTATCTCCTGTTGCTGTCATCATAATAGGCACCTAGAACTGAAAGTGTAAACTCCAGGATGGTGATATTGACCCTGAAGCAAAACCAAGATGGGCATAAAGTGCTTGGACTGAGGTTGGTAGCATGTTTTAGGTCAGGTTTACTAATTTACTTATTACTTTCTATACTTTTAAAATCCCTTTTTATATTCCAAGAACTAGACATTGTAGGAAACTCCTCGTACCTTGTTTTCTCTCAGTAGATCCAGCAAATGAAAATGACAGCCCTGCAATAGCTAAATATCTAAGCTAAAACATATTTTAAAAGCTGTAATTGGTATAATAACCTGTAATTTTCTTTTCTTTTTTGGCATCACACATTTCGTATCTTGCATTTCCAGTTTCCCTCAATCACATAATTATCTGATATTCTTGTGGATTTTAAGAGGTGGTTTTGGTGTCATATTCTTCAATTAATTGACCAGTTTGCTTGCATTAAGTGTAATCTCTTGTGCTTTGACTTCCTGCCTATGGGACATTTGAGTTTAGTAGAACCTTTGGAGGCTTTTTTCCTGATTTGTTGAATTTAATACTAGTTCCTGGTCCAAGTGAGAAATGCCAGAGGCAGTACAAAGAATATTCTGTGTACTTGCAGCTTAAGCTTCCCTAAAAGTAATGCTATTTCTGAGTGCAAGATTGGATTGACTACCTTGGTTCTGTTTATTTTCATTGTGTGAATAATGGCGATAAACTTATTTTCTTTGGCCATTCCGTTGACTTTTGAACTTGGTTACAGCTCTTTTGTGGACTGTTTGAGACTGAATGTGACTTGTCAAGATTCTTACATTGAAGTGCTACCCCCACCAATGTGATTGTATTTGGAGGTGGGGCTTTTGGGAGAATAGATGAGGTTGTAAGTGTGGTACTCCCATGATGGAATTAATACCCTTATAAAAAGAGGAAAAGACATGAGAGCTATCTCTCTCTCCATGAGCACACAGTAAGGAAAGGCCATTGTGGGCACACTTCTCAGACTGCTGTCTACAAGCCAGGAAGAGAGCACTCGGGAAGAATCAACTCTGCTGGCACCTTGATCTTGGACTTCCCGGTTTCCAGAACTGTGAGAAATAAATATCTGTTGTTTAAGCCACAGATCAGTTTATGGCATTTTGTTATAGCAGCAACCTGGCTGTCTAAGATATAGGCCTTTTCCAGGTTTTGGATTCAATACAAAAAGAAGAGGGCAATTAAAACTTAACCAGTATTGAGCATATGGAGGTGATAATAATTCTACTTCCTTAATCCTCCTGGAATCATACTTTAAAATCAAATATAAAAATAGACTATTTTTGGAGACAATATCTTTATGTTTGTAAGCATTTTATTTATCCTTTCATTTGGCCATGTCCAGCATTTTTTTTTTTTTTGGTCAGCAATCTAGATGAGTACTGTAATGTAAATATCTTATTTTTCCTTTCTACAGTGTCCATCCCCCTACAACCTGATTATAGTGCCTTGTTTTCCTTGGGAAATCACCTTTCCCCGTTTTTACTCCCCAGTCCATGGGATTGAAGGGAGGCTTACTTCATCCATGGCTCCAGGAGTGAATGTGATATTCAGATGAGGAAAATCAGAGAACTACATCTCCTGACCACACTGATTGGTTCTGATATGGACATATGATTCATTTCAAGCCAATGAGAGATAGGTTTAAGTCTTTTGCTGAAACATTGGGACAAAGGCTGAAGTCCATAAAGAGGAAAATGATGTTGAGAGAGGAAGAGTACCCAGGTGGTATCATTTGATTACCTGGACTCTGTTGTATCTGAATCTACCCTGGACTTTTTGATCATGTAAGCCAATACTTTCCTCTTTGGCTTAGTCAGTTTTAATTGAATCTTTTCTAATTATAACCAAAAGAGTGCTAAAAAACATGATTACCAAATTCACAGACAGTAAGAAGCATGAAGAAATAGAGAATATATTAGAATATATTACAGAGTGAAAATCCAGAAAGATCTTAGCTAAAAAGAAGAGTAGCAACTAGTAAGATACAATGTAGTAGTGATAAATATAAAGTCCTATGTTTGCTCCAGATCATCAGCTGAGCAGAATGAGGGTGAGGCTGACATGGATAAATACGAAAAAGATTTAGTCATTTTAGTGAATTGTCAGCTCAGTCACCATTATTAGTATGAGAAAACTATCAAAAATATGTGTGTTCTATTCCATTAATCTATTTACCTATCCTCTTTTTTTTTTTTTGAAGATTCTATTTATTTATTTGGCAGAGAGAGACAGCCAGAGAGGGAACACAAGCAGGGGGAGTGGGAGAGGGAGAAGCAGGCTACCGATTGAGCAGGGAACCCGATGTGGGGCTCCATCCCAGGACCCTGAGATCATGACCTGAGCCGAAGGCAGACACTTAACGACTGAGCCACCCAGGTGCCCCCTATTCACCTATCCTTATGCCCATGCCACAGTGTACCCTATTGTCTTAATGGCTATAGCTATACTGTAAGTCTCAAAAATTAGGTAGTGTGACTCTGCCAACTTTGTTCTTCTAGACTGTTGGCTATTCTATGTCCTCTATATAAATAAAATATTGTGAGTTTCCCCAAATTAAAAAGAATTAGTTAAGAATTGTATAATTTTTCAAGCTAGTAGGACTAGTGAATTATAAATCATTTTTAATGCCATTGTCACTTGAACTGGTTAAAAAAATAATACTCATTATACTTTAACAGTCCTTTGGGAAAATAGATATTGAATTATGCCAGGTCTTCAGAAACACATACTGAAGATGAAAAGGCCGTGTATTTTTATCTTTATAAACATAGTATATTTATGGAGAAATACATAAGAAACTACTAACAGTATTTTGCTCCGGCGGGCAGGTGGATTGGGTATCTGGTAAAGGACAGAGATTTTTTTGTATACCCTTGAAATCTTTTAAGTTAAAAAAGCTAATAAAATTTTTCAAAATAAAAATGTAGTATACACTTTCATTATTCATGTATGTTTGATATCTATCTCTAAATCATAATTCCCTTGTATGCATGAAATCTGTTCTGATTTATGATTGTGGGTTCTGTTTGTAGTTAATGTCACTGCAGTTTTCCCTCTTTATTTCCTGGCTCAGCCCATCATGTGGACTCTAAGGAGCTTTAATCAATCTAGTAGATTCTGCATTTAACAAATTCTTTGATGTACCTCTTAAGATTTTTATGATTGTTCTTTACCCCCAAATAAATAATAAATATATGTTAGGACTTATAGTTCTTTTTTAGTGCTTCTTGTTTTTGCTCAACTTAATTTACAGTTTCTCGTGTATCTTGACTGTACTTAATTTATCCAGGCCTCAGTTGCTTAATCTGTAAAATGTGTTGGCTAAAGTGTGGTCCAAAGTCTCTTCTGGTCCCGTGAGTTCATAAGTTTGTCTTCCATTTCATTTCATTCGATTCCATTCATGATCCAGATGAACGGGGATGACATAATCGTCGAGACAAGATATCACATTCATAGAGTATTCAAGCTTCAGGAAAGTTATGCCTGCTTTTTGCTACTCCTTAGACCTGTGATTCCACAGTTCTAGTTTTAGAATATTCAGGATGTCTGTAGTTACTAACAGGTGTGATAGATTGAATCATGGACCCCTCCCTGCATCTGCACTCCTGCCCTGGCTTCCTTGTGGGCATAGGGTACTTCCTCAGTTCTTTATTTGCTCTGGCTAATGACATATGAGCAGCAATTGTGTCATTTTTCAGCCTAAGACTTAAGAGGGCTTGTATGCTTCCACTAGTCATCTTGTGCTTCTGTTTCTGCTGGCTCAAGGAGAATGAGAGACATGGGGAGCAGAACTACAGATCTGAATTAGAAGCAGAGGCTGTCCATAGAGCCCAGTTTGGATCAGCTGTCTCAGCTGACCTGTGGATCTTCAATAATAAATAATTATTAAGTCTTGGTGTTGTCTGTGACACAGCATTTTTGTGATACAATAGGTACAATTGACTTTTATCAAAGTGTATTTTTAAATAGGAAACACATTCACATGGTTCAAAAATAAAAATATAAAAAGGCATATAGTGAAATGTTTTGCTCCATGCCCTGTTACTCGTTCACCTGGTTCCTATCCAATGTCCTACCACCACGAGGTACCCACTTGAGGGATGCCTGGATGGCTTAGTTGGTTAAACATCTGCCTTCAGCTCAGGTTATGATTCTGGGGTTCCTGGGATGGAGCCCCATGTCAGGCTCCCTGCTCACTGGGGAGCCTGCTTCTCCCTCTCCCTCTCACCCCCTCTCCCCCGGCTTGTGCTCTCTCTTTCACTCTGACAGATAAATAAATTAAATATTTAATTAAAAAAAAGGTGCCTACTTGATTGGTTTCTTTTGTATCCTTCTAGAGTTTCTTATGTAAATGCAAACAGACAAGAATATATAATCTTGGCCTCCATTTCCACCATTTTACACAGTTTTATGCTTTGCTTTTTCATCTGCTATCTTAGATATATTTGTGTATCACTATATAGAAAGCTTCTTTATTCCTTTTCACAGCTGTATTTCATACCATAATAAAAGAGAATATAGTCTCCTATTGATGGTCACTTGTTTTCTACCTTTTGCTGCAATGTAAGTATATCTGTGGGATACATTCTTAAGAAAAAGAAGATGTATACAGTTGGAATAGCTACTGCCAAAGTGTCTTTCATAGGGGAACACATGAGTTTTAGTTGGTAAGAGATATTGTAAATATCTAACAGCATTTTCCTTTAATCTGCAGGGCCAGTGTAATATTTCACACAGGAAACCATCCTACTGACATTCCAGGAGGACATGAAGTGATATTTTCAGAGAGCTGATGCCTCTATACCAGGAAGTTCCCAGCGCTTTATAGGTATCAGCTTCTTAAATCCTCACAACATCCTGTGAGGTACTGTTACTACCCTCATCTTAAAGATGAGGAGATTGATGTGGAGGGAAGCTGAGTGACTTGCCTCATCTCATTCAGCTAGAAAGCAGTGGAGCTGGGATTCTAACTTAAGTAGACTTACTCCAGGCTAAGACCACTAAACCATAACTTCTCTAAAATTACTTTTAAAATATAGGTATAATTAAACTAATATTAGTATAATATCCTAAAATATTTTTCCTGACATGCCCTGTTTTGATAGCTTTCATAAAAAATAATCTATAAATTGTGTGTGGGGGGTGGGGTGGGGGGGTGTGTATTTGACTGTACCTATGGGAATCTGGTGAATTTCCACTTATCAACCTGAAGATGTATTAAGATATATAAGAAACTGGGACACCTGGGTGGCTCAGTCAGTTAAGCATCTGCTTTTGGCTCAGGTCATGATCTCAGGGTCCTGCTTAGCAGGGAGCTTGCTTCTCCTTCTCCCTCTGCTCCTCCCCCCACTCCCCTGCTTGTGCTCTCTCTCAAATAAATAAAAAATCTTTTTAAAAAAAGATATATAAGAAACCATTATGAACTTGACTCACTTTCAAACTTCTGTGGTTATAACTGTTGGTTGAATTTTTAGAAAATGGGTTTTGGAAAATATGTGTAAGTATCTATAATTTGCTAAGCAGATAACATACCTTTGGCACAATTAAAAATATCACCTCTAATATATATTCATTTAATATTCATATTACTCCTGTAAATTATAGGTATTAATATTCTGATATTACAGATGAGGAAACTGAAGCTCAGAGAAAGGGGTTGGCTTGCTCAGTATCACCCAGATAGTAAGGATGATGATGATAATGAGTAATATTTACTGAGTACTTACTATATACCAGGCACCATTGCTAGGCCCACTTTACATGGACCTATTTAATCTTCACAACAATTCTATGAGCATTTGCTCTTACAGCTTTACAGATGATAAAATAGGATTTAAAGAAATTTAGAAACTTTCTTAAGGCCATATAGCTAGGAAGTGACAGTGTTGGGCACTTAATCCAGGTTTGTTATGATGGTAATTTTGATGCGTCGACTTGGGTAGGCTTCAGTTCCCACTGTAACATCCAGTGAAACACTAGTCTAGGTGTTGCTGTGAAGGTATTTTAAAGTTGTGATTAAAGTCCCTAATCAGATGACTTTAAGTAAGGGAGATTATCCTGGATAATCTACATGGACCTAACTCAGTCATTTGAAAGGCCCGAAGAGCGGAGCTGAAGCTTCCCTGAAGAAGAAATTCTGCCTGAGGACTGCAGCTTCAGCTGCCTGAGAGTTGCAGCCTGCTCTTCCTGATGGTCTGTCCTATGGATTTCAGACGTGCCTAGCTATCCGTCATAATCACACAAACCAATTCTTTACAATAAATTTCTTAATATAAATCTCCTACTAGTTCTCTTTCTCTGGTTGAACCCTGATACGTTTGTCTAAATCCAAAGCTGAAGCACTTGCCAGAATGCTATACTCATTCTTTGTATACAGCAAATTAGAAATTTGAAACCAAGTCCAGAGCTCTGTGCTGCATATACATCGGAACCACACATTACACTTAATTATTCACTGCCTCAGTATAATGAAGTAATAAGCTTTTATATTTTGTACCCTCCAACTTGATAAGCATTTTGAAGGCAGACACCAGATTTAACTTATCTTATTTTTCCTGTACCGTATATCATGCACACAGGACGCACAGCTCTACTGTCAAAATGATTTCTGTCACACTTGTGCACAGGCACGTGGCATTTGCCTTCTTGCTTTTGTACTCTCAATTTGGAGGCCATCGTTATTTTTTTTTCCCTACTTTTCTTTATCTTTTCTGTTTAATTCTTAACTTGCAAGCTTTTAGGAGCTTAGAATTTTAGTCAATGTTGCTGTCCCCTGTCTTATCCAATTATTAGGGTTTGTCATGAGTATGTAAAACCTTAGTGGAAGAAAGAGGTGATAGTCTGTCAGACTGTTGGGTGATGATTTGGCTTAACTGTTTAACCTGTGCTGCAGTCCTTCCTGGGCTGGACCTCTGACAGATATTGACAAGAAAAATTAAAAAAATTTTCAGTTCCCCAGTGAGTATAGTTGGAATAGAAGGAACTTGTTCCTTACTATAGATAAGCCCTAAATCTAAGGTCAAAATGTTATTGAAGAGCAGATCCTAAGACTTAAGTGATTGGTTCCAAAAGATACTTTTATCCTTCTGTATTTGTATTCTGTTTATTTTTTTAAATTTAAATTCAATTAATTAACATATAATGTCTTATTTGTTTCAGGGTACAGGTCTGTGATTCATCAGTCTGATATAATACCAGTGCTCATTACAACACATACCCTCCCCAATGTCCATCACCTAGTTACCCCATCCCTCCACCCCACTCCCCTCCAGCAACCCTTAGTTTGTTTCCTAGAGTTAAGAGTCTCTTATGGTTTGTCTCCCTCTCTGGTTTCATCTTATTTCATTTTTTCTTCTCTTCCTCTATGATCCTCTGCCTTGTTTCTTAAATTCCACTTCTCAGTGATATCATATGGTAATCGTCTTTCTCTGACTGACTTATTTCATGTAGCATAATACCCTTTAGTTCCATCCATGTTGTTGCTAATGGCAATATTTCATTTTTTGATGGCTGAGTGGTATACCTTTGTATATATATATATACCACATCTTCTTTACCCATTCATCTGTCCATGGACATCTGGGCTCTTTCCATAGTTTAGCTATTGTGGACATTGCTGCTATAAACTCTGGGGTGGAGGTGCCCCTTCAGATCCCTACATTTGTATCTTTGGGGTAAATTCCCAGTAGTGCAATTGCTGGGTCATAGGGTAGCTCTATTTTCAACTTTTTGAGGAACCTCCATACTATTATCCAGAGTGGCTCACCAGCTTGCATTCGCACCAACAGTGTAAGAGAGTTCCCCTTTCTCCGCATCCTCACCAACATCTGTCATATCCTGAATGGTTAATTTTAGCCACTCTGACTGGTGTGAGGTGGTATCTCATTGTGATTTTGATTTTGATTTCCCTGATGCCGAGTGATGTGGAGCATTTTTTCATGATTCTGTTGACCATATGTATGTCTTCTTTGAAGAAAGGATGGTTCATGACTTCTGCCCATTTCTCGATTGGATTATTTGTTCTTTGGGTGTTGAATTTGAGAAATTCTTTATAGATTTTGGATACTAGCCCTTTAGCTGATAAGACATTTGCAAATATCTTCTCCCATTCTGTCGGTTGTCTTTAGGTTTTGTCGACTGTTTCCTTTGCTGTGCAAAAGCTTTTTATCTTGATGAAGTCCCAGTGGGTCATTTTTGCCTTTGTTTCCCTTGCTTTGGAGACCTGTCTAGCAAGAAGGTGCTGCAGTCGAGGTCGAACCTCTAGGATTTTGATGGATTCCTGTCTCACATTTAGGTTTTTCATCCATTTTGAGTCATTTTTATGGTGTAAGGAAATGGTCCAGTTTCATTCTTCTGCATGTGGCTGTCCAATTTTCCCAGCACCATTTGTTAAAGAGACTGTCTTTTTTTGCATTGGATGTTCTTTCTTGCTTTGTGAAAGATTAGTTGACCATAAGTTCAGGGTCCATTTCTGGGTTCTCTATTCTGTTCCCTTGATCTGTGTGTCTGTTTTTGTGCCAGTACCATACTGTCTTGATGATCACAGCTTTGTAATTAAGCTTGAAGTCTGGAATTTGATGCCACCAGTTTGGTTTTCTTTTTCAACATTCCTTTGGCTATTCGGGGTCTTTTCTGGTTCCATACAAATTTTAGGATTATTTGTTCCAGCTCTGTGAGAAAAGTGGATGGTATTTTGATACGGATTGCAATGAATGTACAGATTGCTCTAGGTAGCCTAGACATTTTAACAATATTTGTTCTTCCAATCCATGAGCATGGAACATTTTCCCATTTCTTTGTGTCTTTTCTCAATTTCCTTCATGAGTGTTCTAGAGTTTTCTGAGTACAGATCCTTTGCCTCTTTGGTTAGGTTTATTCCTAGGTATCTTATGGTTTTGGGTGCAATTGTAAATGGGATCAAGTCCTTAATTTCTCTTTCTTCTGTCTCATTGTTAGTGTATAGAAATGCAACTGATTTCTGTGCATTTATTTTATATCCTGCCACCTTACTGAATTCCTGTATGAGTTCTAACAATTTTGGGGTGTAGTCTTTTGGGTTTTCCACATAGAGTGTAGTGTCATCTGCAAAGAGTGAGAATTTGACTTCTTCTTTCCTGATTCAGATGCCTTTTATTTCTTTTTGTTGTCTGATTGCTGAAGCTAGAACTTCTAGTACTATGCTGAACAGCCGTGGTAATAATGGACATCCCTTCCATGTTCCTGACCCTAGGGGAAAAGCTCTGTTTTTCCCTGCTGAGAATGATATTTGCTGTGGGATTTTCATAGATGGCTTTTATGATATTGTTTTATGAATTATGATTATGGCCTTTCTTCATATTGATATGGCTATTCATAGATGGCTTTTATGATATTCACACTATGAAGAGTTTTAATCAAGAAAGGATGGTGTACTTTGTCAGATGCTTTTTCTGCATCTATTGAGAGGATCATATGGTTCTTGTCCTTTCTTTTATTTATGTAGTGTATGACATTTTTGATTTGCAGATGTTGAACCACCTTTGCAGCCCAGGAATAAATCCCACTTGGTTGTGGTGAATAATCCTTTTAATGTACTGTTGGATCCTATTGGCTAGTACCTTGGTGAGAATTTTTGCACCCATGTTCATCAGGGATATTGGTCTGTAATTCTTTGTAGTGGGGATTTGTCAGGTATGGGGATCAAGGTAATGCTCACCTAATAGAAAGAGTTTGGAAGTTTTCCTTCCCTTTCTATTTTTGAAACAGCTTCAGAAGAATAGGTATTCATTCTTCTTTCAATGTTTGGTAGAATTCCCCTGGGAAGCCATCGGGCCCTGGGCTCTTGTTTGT